TCATGTTTTTTGTCCTTTTCTTTTCTTTTCTTTTCTTTTCTTTTTCATTTTTAAAAACCAGGCGTCATATACTTCCAAGCGCTTTAAATTCCCTTTCACTTCAGAGTGGCTGAGGAGAAAGGGTTGTATGTTTTGCCAAGGATAGCAACATTGCGTGGCTTCTTTTGTTTGTTCACGCACATGAACTGAAGTAGAGAAATGACATTTCAGAGTTTCCTAAGTGTGAAGACACTAACAGGGGCTGCCCCATCTCTTGTGGTTTCCAAGGTCAGGCCCTGAACTCTGAGCGCGGCTAAGTTTTTGATGCATTCCTGACGCTTGACATGTCAGCGGATATTCCTCTGGAAACATGGGAGAGGGACTGTGTCTGCATGGCCATGGGGAAAAGAAAAGCCCTTCTGTGTAGGGGATCTAATCCTCCTAGCCACAGATCCTCAATTTAAAGCGGGTATGGTCTGGAGGGAAAACTTGCTGTGTATCTCCATTGCTTAGAAAGCTAAATTCCCAGAGCAGAGACATGACTTGGGCTGGGTAGGCTGACAGGAAGTTTGAACTCTGTCACATATCAATGCAACAAGATCTTTAAAATGCATAAGCTACGTGCCACCCCTGGAGGGGAAAAAACATGGAATGAATTTTCCTAAATGGAATTTTGCAAAGGTAAGACAATGAAAAAAGCCTCTTCTCCATGGAGCTTGTAGCTTAAAGTTGGATGAGGGAAGAGAAGAGTAACGAGGAAGAAGTTTAAAATGTATGATGTCCCCTCAACTGTATTATTTCTGGCAGGGATAGCCAACATGGTGCCATTCAGCTGTTATAGATTATGGCTCCAATCTGCTCAGCCGGTATGGCCAGTGGTCACAGATGATGGGAGTTGTAGTCCACAGCATCTGGAAGGCACTGCATTGACCACCCTTCTTAGGTGCTTTGTCCGACATTTGGTGGAAAGGTAGGATACATAGTTAACAAGAAAATATAAAAGTAAAATAAGGGCCACTTCATTTATTTATGTTCCTAGGCATATACATAGCAGGTGGGATGTGGTTTGTCATGTAGGGACACTCCTCCGGGATTAGTGCAAATTGGCCATATTGCAAGTGAATTTTAGGAGGGTGCTTCAGATATAAACAGCCAGTTGTCAAGACTGGGGCAACTTTGTTGGATGCAACTCTCTGCTTCCTACACAAGGTACTTGATTGAAAGCTGTGTCAACATTTTATTTGGGTATATTTCTTGATACCTAAGCACAGACTTGAATTTAGTGGAGCTTGCCTTTGCACACTAAATCACATTCCCTTTTGTTTTGCTTTTTTGCTTTCTCCCAGAAACACTGTGCAAAAATACCTACATTGCATCTTATTATAAATGAAATAACTTGCCATAGCTGCTTGTAAAACATCAGCTTTGAAACCCCCGCAGTTCAGCTCTGTCTTTACTAGCAAGTTCTTTTCTCTTCCTCCCCCCGCCCCCTCCAAATTATAAGCAGAGAAAGTTGTTGGTTGCAGATTTTTTTTCCCCCTTTAAGAAATTGAGGGGAGATCTTGTGGGGTTAAAAAAAAAAAAAAAGACCAAAATTACAGACTGAAGGGATGTCTCAAGAGCCTTGGTAATTGGATAATGAAGCCTTTTAACTCTTAAGTCCTCAGTGGCTCAAATTCAGCCCAGGTTGGTAAAATTACCAAAAGGCATCTAATGGCTCGTCTACATGAAAAGAACTGTTGGTTCCTTTATGGCGAGGTGTCTGCAGTTATGAAGGCGCCAGCACATTACACTTAATGGTAATTGGTACCTTCTCTACAGGAGGGAGGCCAGGAACCCTTTTGGTTAAAGAGGCTGAAGGAACATTTTGCACCTTAACTGCTGATTCTCTGAATCCTGGCAGATTGCAAGTCACTCCTAGGTTTTAGGTTTTATAGGCACTGGGATGAATGAGTGACATGGTTCCTTTCCAGACCAGGGAGAGGAAAATATGCATTAGACAGAATATTATTCACCCAGGTTGTTTGGTTCCTCTCTAGACTTGCTATGAGAGTGGCGTGGGGCCTGATCATGAGAAAATGTTTCCCACACTGCTTTGGTAATGCATGAATTGCATGGGTAAATCTAAAGAATGAGTTAGGTCCCTAGTCTGTGGCCCCATCTGAACCATATACATTTAAAATACTATTATGCCACTTTAAACATTAATGGCTTCCCCCAAAGAATTATGGGAACTTTAATTTGTTAAGAGTGCTGAGAGTTGTTAGGACAACGCCCCCCCCCCCTTTCCCCTCACAGAGCTACAATTCCCAGAATGGTTTAACATCAGTTCTTCTTCCAGGGAACTCTGGGAATTGTATCTCTGTCAGGGGAATAGGGATGCTTTGAGGGAAGCCATGACTGTTTAAAGTGATATGATAATGCTTTAAATGTATCATACTGTTGGGGCCTGTGTCACTTTCTCATGTGGTCACCAGAGGTCTGCTCTGTCCTGTATGCAACATTGATCTTCAGATCATTTATTTTTAAAAATGCTTTAAAATACATAGGTTGAGCTAACTAACTCAGAGTGGCTCATTGAAATCGATTATTTCGAAGTAAGTTGGATGCAATCCCATGTTTAAATGAATACTTTGTTGCAAATTATGCATTTTTTTTAAAAAATGACCTATGCACTGTGTTGGAATATTTGGGGAACTTTAGTCCAGGAATTGTGGATCAGGTCAGTTTGTTCTGGAATACACACAGACTGAATTCCTCAAGCATCCCTTGGTAGTAGTAATGGAAATAATTTTCCAGATCGTTTCTACCCAGCACATTCTTTTTCCTTTTGGATTGGCTTCAGTGCGGACTGCGCTTTTTCTTTTTCTTTTTTAAAAAAGAACTTTATGTAAAGCAAGCACACGTTTGTTTCAAATCTCGTCAACGGCACTTGATGTGCAAGAAGAAGCATGTATGGGCTTTTCTGGAAGGAATGTTTGCTCTCAGTCAGTCCAACTGCTGGAAAAGGTTTTAAAGAGCTGGATCCACAAGAGTTCACCAGTTTTACTAGCTTTACACAGGCAATAACAAATCCAGTTCTAAAGGAAAGTATCCAGTGTTGAGTTCCAGGAAATGTTAATCTTAAACAGGGAAAATATATTCATCTTCATAGGGAACTTTTACCTCTGAAAACTCCAAAGAAAAGTTGCATGTGTTGCAAAGTATTGTGCCAATTCTACCTTTTAAAGGTCTCTGCAGGCTGTGTTTAAAATCCCAGCAGGGAATTAGGAATGAAACAGCTGGATTTTGTCCTCCTCCGCTCCCCTCTTTTACTTAAACATTGTAATTTCAGTCTTATGTGTATTTGCTCAGAAGTAATTTCAACTGATTTAAGAACCACAATAGCCAATGACCCATCTAGTTCAGCATCTGGCTCTTACAGTGGCCAATGGGAAGTCCTGTCCCGTTCCCACGCTATAGGCTGAAAATCAGAGCCATAATTGCCAGTACAGTTAACAAACTACAGTTCCCAGATTCTTTGGGGGAAGCTAAGAGTCGGACACAACTAAACAACAACAACAATGTGCTTTAAATGTATGGTGTGGATTAGGGATGGGCAATAACTGTTTTTCAATATTGCAATATATTACCAGCTAAACATCGCATTGTATCAATATATCACAGTATTCCTTTGTCCTCTCCCACAAAAGATAGTGATAGGCACCAACTTGTATCTCTTTAAAAGATAGTCCATGTAGAATAAAGCTGTGCTTATTAATATGTCTTTATGAGTATTAACTCTGAATACCACTTCCTGGAAGCCGCAGTGGGGAGAGTGCTTTTGTGCTGAGGTCCTTCTTTCAGGCTTCCCAGAGGCATCTGATTGACCACTGCTGGGCTTTGATGGGTCATTGGCAGCAGGCTCTTCTTATGTTCTAGGGGTGTCTCATACATATTCAATGTACATTTCAGTTTTGAGTGGCAGTCTAAAGAAGATTTAAGAACTTGGTTCAGCTTGCTGGCAACTTCATCTCCTTTTCTTAACCCCATCGACTAGTTGACTCCATCTGGTCATTCTTCTTCGCTGCATGACAGAAAAACCATGTCCATTTCGACAACATGAGTGAATATGACAAAATCAATAAAAACATTTTGGAACACTGCCACGTTGTAAAGTAGGTTTGGAAGGGAGGTGATGGGAATCTTGCGTTTTGACTAGACTTGTAAATAGCTGCATAATGGAACCTGTATTGGATATGTGTTAGCCTTGAGTGTTTGCTTTAATATCTTTTAAACAGGTCCAACCAGCAATAAACCAGGCTGACATGCTATTTCCTTTTACTCGCTCTCTGTCCTGTTAACCATTGATAGTTTTAAACTGAAGTGGCTGAAGTAAAGCGGAAATACTGCAAGGAACAAATCTTTAAAAGGGTTACAAATTCTGAATATTCAAAACCGTCAGCTTGGAAGACAAACCAGACCAGGTGTTGAACTCTTGTCTAGGCTGTAGCACTTGGGACTGCAAGGGGGGGGGGTGACATCAAATATTTTACGTAAAATGGGAGGTTTCTAGGCTCACTTTCTCTTTGGCATGCTAGTTTATATGTTAAAGATTTCCCTCTTTCCCCAATGTGGCAATATTCAACTATGCAATTATTCTAATTACACTTTAAAGTGGACCAGCCCAGACAATAGTAATCTCCAGGGATTTTCTTTTTCCTCCTGGTGTAGGAGCAGAGTACTCTCAGTATGAGCTTCAATAGCCCCCTCGATTGTGCCAATGTTATTCCAGTTCTTTAGCTGGGTCCCTAAATCTGGATGCTGGACTTGAAAATAGTTTCCTTGGTTCTGTGGTTTATTCAAAAGGTGGTTGTTCCTCACCTGGGTAACAAACAAGGTGGTGTAGAGGTGAATTCTTACCACAATCCCCCTCCCCTTTTCTTCTTAAAAAGGTGATGTTAGGTTAATATTAAATTTCATAGAATTGTAGAGTTGGAAGGCACCCTGATGATCATCTAGTCCAACCCCTGCATTGCAGCTGTCCTATACGGGGATTGGACCTGCATCCTTGGCATCATCAGCACCACACTCTAATCAACTGAGCTATCCAGTCATGTTACTTTCTGCTGAAAAGCCCTAAAGCAATTTGCAAATAAAAGAAAATATAATACAGTCAAACCTTGGTTCTTGAACGGCTCCGTTTTCAAACCTTTCGGCTCCCGAATGCCGAAAACCTGGAAGTAAATGTTCCGGTTTTCGAACGTTTTTTGGAACCCGAACTTCCGACGCAGCTTCCACTTGAGTGCAAGAAGCTCTTGCAACCAATTGGAAATCGTGGCTCAGTTGTCAAATGTTTCGGAAGTTGAACTGTCTTCCAGAACAGATTACGTTCGACAACCGAGGTTTGACTGTAATAAAATGACACACACAAAATAAAATCAGTTAGCAATAGAATAGAATATTGTTGGTATTGCATAAATGCCCAGAAAAATAAATGATTGTGTCCAGTGTTTGTCCTACTCAGAGTTTTTTGTTGTTGACATCTGTCTGTCTCAAAAGGATTGTGCCTCCTGGGGCAAAGTCAAACTGTTGGAGAATCACAGCGTCCACTGTGACTACAGAGACCAGTAACTCATAACTGCTGCCTCCCACATTGTTTTTGCTGTGTTAATAGCTCCAGAATGACCTCTCTGGGGCACAAACCTGGGCAATGTGTATGGAAGACCTGGGCTGGCCATATGACAAAACCCCCCTCTCAGCCTCACTGATGTAGTCCAAAGGAAAGTAGAACAATGCATTTGACACCATCTTGGCTGCCGGAAAGAGACATACAAGAAGCCATCCAACTGTCTTAGGGACTCCACTCGAGATTTGTGTAGAATTTACTCCTAAGCCTTTTCTTCTCCTGAAGATGTCCCACAAGGCTGTCCTAACTAACTTAGGTCTATGTATTTTAATAGGTCTAGTGAGTAGGCCTTAACTGGATATAACTCATAAATGGGGTTGGTGCCAGATGGGTAGAAGCACCTTTAGCACAAGTTGTACACGGATTGTAGTAACTGGAAACATGGAAAGGGTTACTATAGGGATTGGGCCTGAACTATAGAAGCAAGTAGGAGGTCCCAAATTAGATCCGTAGTCTATAGAATGCCCCCAATCCAGTCTCTGGTTTCACAGATGGGAATGATCTTGGGAAAGCGAGAATGCACGGTACCTGGCTAGAATTAATTCAGTATAAGGCAACCCATTATATGCTAACCAGCTCCCCACAGTGATAGATTTTAAAGGAAGCAGCCTCCTATTGAGTCAGACCATCACTGTCTTCTGAACCAGGGGTAGGGAACTGTGGCCTTCCAGATTTTGCTAGCCTACAACTCCACACAACCTGGCCATTGGCCATGTTTACTGGGGCTGATGGGAGTTAAATGAAATTTGAAGGGCCATAGATACCCTACTACCTCACCTGCACTCATTGGCAACAGCTCTCCATGGATTCAGACAGGGGTCTATCTCAGTTATCTACCTGGGTATTGAACCTGGGACCATCTGCATGTAAAGCATATGCTCTACCACTGAGCCATGAACTTACATCTCCTATTGCCTAGGAAAGACCTGTAGCTGAGGCTTCATTGGAGACCGGTTGTGAATTGTAGAAGATGATCACTTGGCTAGATGAACCAATGACCTTACTATGTAGCGGTCTGCTTTATGAAGCTATGCATGTTCAAGGGCTATTGGGCCTGCTTCCTTGGCAAAACCGGAGTCTGTCTTCAAATGAGACCTGCATGTAAAACTGCATCTTTTTACAAGTGTGGGGTGATTGGCAGCAGCATTCCTGGATCTTGATAAGAGTTACCTAGGAAATGGCACTTTGCAATTGCATGGAGAGGGAAACTTGCAATTTTTCGTGACATTACGCATAACTCCCTTTGTTACTTACACTGATGTACCTTTTCTTTCCACAGAGTTCTGCTCAATCACTTTCAGGAAAAGGTTATTCGGTAAGTCACCTTATAGCTAATTATTCGATTTCACTTCTATCACTGTTTGATTGTGGAAGATTACATTACCTGTTACATGTTCATGTACGCTGTGGGAATACAGAGCATGCAAAAGAGGCTTTGAGAAAAGCGCAGCCACATTGCTAAACCGCCTCTCTCTGCATGAGAGAGTATTAAAACAGTTTGTTTTCTGAGCCTCTCCAGTTTTATTGTTCTGCTTTTCCATTCATGCAAACCATGTATCTACAAATCCAAAGATCATAGATTGCCTGCAGCATACCTTTGACTTTCTCGATGCAAGGCCAAATCAGCCTTTTATTGTCCCATTTGGCCACATTACATTTTATGTCCAGTTGAACATATGCACATACGTTTGACTGTAATGTTGGCTTCACCAACTCATGTGAATTCTCTCCAACTCCAAAAATGGAGAGGAAAGAATCAGTCAGGTGTGATGGAGTTCGCTTGAATTTGTTTCTGCCTGAAAGTGCTTGTACAAAGGTGTTTTCTTTCCCGAAAGTAACAGCACTTACAGCCTACAACCTAGACTTGTCATTTCTGAAACAGTCTTGCTTCAAAACTATTGGCTTATTTCAGACATTATACTATTTGATATTTGATTTTTAAAAAATATATTTTTATGAAAGATTTCTTGGTTTAAAAAAGTATGCGCAATGTCTCTTTTTTCAAGTTACATTTTCTACAGATCAGTTTCATTTGTTGAGACATTAGTGTTAAGGTAGGAAGAAAATGGGGAAAGATGTGGAGGGGGGGCATGGCGAGTGGGGTGAGATCGGGTGGCAGTTCTACTTAGTGTCTGTGTGGGGTTTGTGTAAGCATCAATTGTGTGGGTCCTCTTTACTATTTGCTTGTATTCCTTTGGTGGTGAGAGAGGTTGGCATTGGCCTAGGGTGTGGTTGTTTGTTTGTGATTGGCTGTGGTGAACTTTGTTTTCATGTGTGAGTGGGGTGGGTGTGTTTTTCTGGATCAGGTTAGCCAGATTGATTTACTAAACCATAGTTTAGTGTTAAGTGAACGAGTCTTGGGGTTGTGTACTCCTCCCTCTTGCAATCTAGTGTTCTTTGATCTTGAATTGTTTCAACAAACCACAGTTTCTCTAAATTGCAGGTGGGGAACCTGCGGCTTTCTAGAGATTTTTGTACAACAGCTCCCATCATTCCTGACCATTGGCCATTCTGGTTGAAGTTGATGGGAGCAGGAGTCCCTATTCCAGATTTAAACTAACCAGAGTCCACCCCTCAGTTTGTATGAAACAACAGACACTGGGTAGTTTCAAACAGGAAACAGATACTTCTGTTCTTCTCACAGCCATTGTAGAGCAGGAGGGGAAGTGTGGGCCTGGGGCTTGCTACTACTCTCGTATGGTCCAGTGTTATGTGCAGAATGGGCCATAAAATCAATTTTTGATGAAGGGCAGAATAAAAATACATTTAGATAAGCATTCTGACTTTCAGATTGCACTTTCAATGTGCAATGCCATGTGATAAAACCAGGTTCAAAAATGTTTATAACAACAACAACAAGAAGATTCATAAATATCTGGCCATCAACTCAGAGTTACCATAGTGTGATTCTGGAGCTGGTCTTGATTCTTTTATTCCTTTTTTTTAAAAAAAAGTAAAAGAGCACTCTGTATCCAGGTAGATTGCTACTGAACACATACTTACTAAGTAAATAAATAGTGGTGTAAGAACAAGGTAGTATTCTGTAATTCCACCTATACAGCTGGAACTGTATTCGCTTCCACCTGCATTTTGTAAAATTGCTGTGGGTGGTTGCTCATTCAGAGGGAAGGGATGAGATGGTTTGAAATCATAATTGCCAGATAAAGCAAATATTGTCTGGATTTTTACTTGTGCTTCTGAATCTTAATTTTGATCATAGTAGCTTTCTTAAAAAGAGAAGGAGAAGCGAATAGCACTGAGCGAAGTGAACCAAAGCTGACTGCCAAATAGCATCAGACAAGTCCTGTCTTCTTTTGACTGCTCTCACTGAAGCCTTAAATTAATTCCCTTGCCAGTGTGAAAGAGAAAGAGAGAAGGAAATCTTAATTCCTTTTAGCATTTCTAATTGCCAGTAGTAACTATGGTTGCAAAAGCTGTAACTGGAAAAGGTCTGTGTTTTTTACAATTCGGGGTACATATTTCAGATGGCCAGTGCTTGGAATGATGCCTGGATGGACTATCTTGGTATGGTGAATGGCAGCAGCACAACCGCTCACAGCATCACTCATCATTAAATGTGGTTTTGAATGTTTTTAGAGAATTCTTGAGTCTGCAAGATGGACATGATTTGCATCTGGTGGGAATTTTGAAATCATTGTGTCTACCAGGGAAACATTTAAACTTATCTCCTGATTTTTTTATTTGGGTGGGGGATGCCTTTTTTCCTCAAGCACCAATTGCCAACACTATGCAAAGCAGAATAATTGTGGTCAGGTTTTCAGTTTATGTTTGAGTGAGTGAAGTAAACCTTTTGCCTTGGGCTGGTAGTGAGAAATGTGGGAGGAACAACTCCACTTGTAGAGTATCTCTCTCTCTCTCTCTCTCTCTCTCTTACACACACACACACACACACACGAGAGAGAGAGAGAGAGAGAGAGAGAGAGAGCTTAATGGAAAAAGGTCAGAGGCCTTGCCACCACCCTGGTGTTAATAAATCATGGGCAGGCATTTTTATCTCCCTTCATGAGAAGTTCCTTTTGATCTGCTGAACAAACAGGCATGTAGAAGTATAGAGCTGTTTATCTGAAAGCCACTGGAGTTCTGATAAGTTTGTTTCTTGATTGCTGGGCTATAAAGAGATTGAGTAATAAGCACTGATATCTCAAACTGTGGTCTGTAGAGATTCCATACACACACCCCAAAGTGGGCTGTGAGCGTTAGGGTTCACCCATCGCCTGAGCATAATATATGTGTGTGTGTTTGTGTGTGTGTACTTCCTTGATGCAAAAAAAAGCCATTTCATGGGCCTGAAAATGTTCTGCCAAACCATAAAACATTTCCTTTTTCATACTGGGTCTTTTTTTTATTTGTCCTGATTTTTGTTTTGTTTTGTTGCTTTTGTTTTCATTGGTTTTAATCATCTGTTTTGGTGGTACTTCACTTCAATAAGAGTGTGATCCTTCTTGTTGATTATGCAGTTCAATTGGTCAAGAATCGTATAGCTAGTATGGTGATGTCACAAAGCCAAGTCAAAGTGAGGGCCCTCACTTGGGAATAGGTGAATATTTTAATATAGTTTTGCAGTCCCTTTCTCCAAAAATTGATATTGTTTCCAAGGGGGTAAACAATTTTACATAACAATCCCCTCATCACTACCACTTCCTTTCCCACAACTTTCATTGCTTGTGAAATTAGAATTCAGCATCAATAAGGAACCTGGTAAGTTTCTGCAAGGTAGGAAGAATTCAGTTTGTGTGTGAGTGTGAGGGAATTAAGATCATAACTTGTTTCCCCCTCACCACCTGCCAAACACATTCTTTCTTTTATTTTCTACATGAACTAGTGTGTATAAATTTGTTGTTAGTAATCTGAGCCATGGGGCTGTTTTGAATAGTGATGAAAAATAATAAAGGGAAATGTGCCCAGTTCATCTTCTGTGAAAAAGTACATCATTTGTCCCGTTGTCTGCTGTGGCAAAATTACATAACTTGCTGAATTTGCATAACTAATCACATAACATACTTAAATTAGATTGTTATCACGTTATTCCATGTCATTCATTTCAATGTAAAGGGAATGCAATGCACTTGTGATCCAGAAGCTACCGTTATTGCAGCATTATTGCTGACAGGCGTGAGACACTTCAGCATGTAACACCTGTGCTCAGAGACTACACAGGTTGCTGATTTGCTACTGGGCCAAGTTCAAGGTGTTACTATTAGTATATAAAGCCCTTAACAACTTTGGACCCGTTCACTTGCAAGATTGCCTTATCTCATATCTGTCTACCCAACTGCTGCAGTCTTTGAACTGGCACCGTTACATGTGCCTCAGAATACATGATCCACATTTCTCAGAAATCAATATTTTAGTGTGGCAGCACTCACCCTCCCTGCCTGTTTCGTAAAGAGGAGACTGAGAGCAGATAGCCATCTTCAGATATCTAAGGGGCTGTCACATAGAGGATGGAACAAGCTTGTTTCCTTCTGCTCCGGACGTTATATGACCCAAACCAGTGGATTGAAGTTAGAAGAAAGGAGATTCCAACTAAACATCAGGAAAAACTTTCTGACAGTAAGAGCTGTTCGACAGTGGAACGGACTTCCACGACAGGTGGTGGACTCTTCTTCCTATAGGTTTTTAAGCAGAGGTTGGATGGCAATCTGTCATGTATGACATAGTTGAGATTCTAGCATTGCAAGGGATAGACTAGATGACCCTCAGGATCCCTTCTAACTCTACAATTATATGATGCCATGACATCTGGCAGGCCTCTTCCATGTGCCATTTTCATTGCCTGCTATCCCACCTGGGATAGCTCAGCCAGTAGAGCACGAGACTCTTAATCTCAGGTTTGTGGGTTTGAGCTCCGTGTTGGGCAAAATGATATCTGTATTACTGGGGGTTTGACAATATGAACCTCATGGTCCCTTCCAATTCTACAGTTCTATGATTCTATGAAAAACACATATGTTTAGGCAAGTCTACCCAGGTATGTAGAATGTTGGCATGTGTTTTAATTTGTTTTTAGTTCATTGTTGATTTTAATTACTATTTGAATATTTTAACGGTTTTATTAATAATTTTATTGTTTTGTTCTTTTTGTAAATTGCTTTGAGTTTTTTCTTTCTTTCTTGCAATCAAGCAGTATATATATTTTATGCAATAGATAAATGTTCATTATCACAGTGAGATGGAGGCTCCCAATTGCAGCATTCCTGGTTTAACACATTCAAAGCCAGTCCTATATATTATATATTGTTCCATTGTAATGTACATTGTAACTGTACACTGAAATGTGTAAAGCAATATTTGTTGCTGTTGAAATATGGAGTGGGATAAACAGGGCCATTAAGTCCAGAGTCTAAAACTACCCATCTCCACCGTTAGGTCTGAGAGGTTGAGAAACTGCTGGTGTACACAATGTGTTGCTTCTCCATTAAACTACCTTCTGCCTGATCATGGGCCAGCTGTTGAGGAAGCTGTTTACTTCTGTTTCTAAATGGATGTGTCATAAGGCAAGAATCCATTATTTCTCTGATGCCACCAGGTCTAACTACCATTCAATTCCATAAGGAACTCTGAAGATAATACAGGGGGGTTCATTCTTCTGATATTTTGGGGTTAGGTTCGTTTTTTGTTTTTGTTTGGGTTTTATTTTATTTTTTTGTCTCCTTAAGTACCAAGCCACGTTTTTAACAGTGGCATTCTCAAGGTCCCTAAAATATGCTGCTTCTTGCCAGACATTACCTGCAAGAAACATAGCTTAAAATGTAGAACTTGAGGGTAATCACAGTTACACATGCAACTTTTGCAGTTCTACATGATGTGGCCTGTCTGCATTTCGCACAGAGCCAGATGAAAAATATCATAATACAAATGTACTTATTTATTTTATATAGCTAATTCATATATTGCTTCATAGTTCAACAAAAACCTCTAAGTGGTTTACAAATCACAAGAAAAAGGAATCAGTATAAGAATTTTTTTTTTAAAAATTCCACATTCAAAATCAAACAACCTACTAATAATCATAATTACACACTTTAGTTAACATAATAAATATATCTAAACAATTTACAGAAAAAACCTTGTTGTTTTTGTTTAGTTGTGTCTGACTCTTTGTGACCCCAATGGACCAAAGCATGCCATGTTTTCCACTGCCTCCTGAAGTTTGGTCAAACTCATGTTTGTAGCTTTGAGAACACTGTCCAACCATCTCGTCCTCTGTCGTCCCCTTCTCCTTGTGCCCTCCATCTTTCCCAACATCAGGGTCTTTTCCAGGGAGTCTTCTCTTCTCACGAGATGGGCAAAGTATTGGAGCCTCAGCTTCAGGATCTGTCCTTCCAGTGAGCACTCCGGGCTGATTTCCTTCAGAACGGATAGGTTTGATCTTCTTGCAGTCCATGGGACTCTCAAGAGTCTCCTCCAGCACCATAATTCAAAAGCATCAATTCTTCGGAAATCAGCCTTCTTTATGGTCCAGCTCTCACTTCCATACATTACTACTGGGAAAACCATAGCTTTAACTATACAGACCTTTGTTGGCAAGGTAATGTCTCTGCTTTTTAAGATGCTGTCTAGGTTTGTCATTGCTTTTCTCCCAAGAAGCAGGCGACTTTTAATTTCGTGACTGCTCCTTCATGGATCACTGCCTTGTCATGGCGAAGGGGCTTGAATAACTCAGAGAAGCTATGAGCTATGCTCTGCAGTGCCACCCAAGATGGACAGGTCATAGCCGAGAGTTTAGACTAAATGTGATCCACCTGGAGAAGGAACTAGCAAGCCACTCCAATATCCCTGCCAAGAAAACTCCATGGACAAAAACAACAGAAAAAGCCTAGGAACCACAAAAAGCATGCATCAAAATTCAGTGTAATTACACTATCATAAAATACAGTATATCATCAAATACATTTTTTTTAAAGAAATCTAATACAGTCACCAAAACCACTTAGCTTACACATTCACACTATGCAAAGTACACATTCACACTACACAAAACTAATCCAAACACACACAACCCCCACATTCACAGTAACTTTAGTCTCCTTGTACCCACCTCATCACTCCATCCACTCAATTCTCACTTCAGTGAAACACCTCTTTAGACACATTGCGAACTGATATACATAAAGGCGCTTTGTTGATTTCTTTTACAACTCTGCTTTGTTGCTCCTTCCCAAAATGCAATCTCTGTGCATCCTCAGTGCCTATAGGGATTGCCTTTAGGGGAGCCAAGCAAACAAACCTTAATCCAGAAAAGACTAAAGTAATGTTTGTTTGTTTTAAATTGCATCACATTTTTCTTTTTAGAAAACAAAAACAAAACATAAACCCAGTTCCTCTAGCAAAAACAGAATCAATAAACGACAGAAACAAAAATAAATAAATAATATAATGCCCCCCCCGGCAATACAATGCCACTCAAATCATGCTTTTCTTAGAAAAGTAACTGCATAACTTAGAAGTATAACTTGATAAGGCCCAGGATGCTCTACCACTGAGCTATGGCCTGCCCCTAGGAAGCAAGCAGCCAGGAAACAAAAGCTATGGGGGAAGAGAACGCAGGTAGCAATATTGGGCATTGGCACTGCATTCCTTGCTCTCGATAGGACAGTCTGGAGTCGCTATACGCTATTAGATACTGCTTGTATACCCTCTGCAGGGGAACCATAAAGACTAGGAGAATGCAAAAATAAAATAAAAATGAAGCAGAAGCTCTGAGGCTGCTGCTGTGTCCCAGGCCTAGTGCCAGGCGGAGTGTTCTCTGCATTATGCAAGTAGACATGTGGACCCTGCTACGTCTCTCATAAAGTATATTTTTGGTTTATTGGTTGCATTAATTCTCTTTCAAAATAACCTCCCTCTGTTTCCAATTAAACTGTGTTCTGCTTTTAATAATGATCAATTGTCCCATAAATTGTCACTCATCCCCAAAATATCTCTCTCTCTCTCTCTCTCTCTCACTCACTCACACACACACACACACAGAGAGAGAGAGAGAGAGAGAGAGACTCTCCCCTTCCCCAAAACTGGGTATCTACATCAGTCTCAGCATTTTGAGGCATTGCTAAAAGGCTGTTTTGCTGAGGCAGATACAACACACACACTCCTTTGTTTATTATGCCTGAGCATAATTGGATGATTTTGATTTACATAAACCTACAAGTTTTCATGCAAATGTAGCCTTTCTGACATGGTGATATTCTTGAAACCCTTCAAGGCGTGGATGGTATGTGACCCCTTTTCTGATTTCTTTTTTTTTTAACCACATCATTTTAAAGGGAGGAAGTTAGGGCAGAGAGAGGGGAACCTCATCTGTAAGCTACTATGTTAAGACAAGCACATCTTCACAAAGGCTCCCAAAATTCATTGCTGCAGGTTTGCTGTGGAAATAAATAGCTCCGTTCAAGACAACGATGGTTGTCTAGTCCAGCTTCCAGCAATATAGGCATATTTTGCCCAAAGTGGGGCTCGAACCCTATGACCCTGAGGTTAAGAGTCTCATAGCAGAGAATAAAAGCCAAGGCCTGGAAAGGACACCAATTTGCATGTACTAATTTGTATATATAGAGAGTGGTATTCAGCTAAGCTGTACTCAAAGCAGACCCATCAAAATTAATGAGCATGGCTAAGTTAAAGGTAAAGGTAAAGTGACCCCTGACCGTTAGGTCCAGTCGTGAATGACTCTGGGGTTGCGGTGCTCATCTCGCTTTACCAGCCGAGGGAGCCGGTGTACAGCTTCCGGGTCATGTGGCCAGCATGACTAAGCCACTTCTGGCAAACCAGAGCAGCGCACAGAAATGCCATTTACCTTCCCTATTTATCTACTTGCACTGCATGCTTTCAACTGCTAGGTTGGCAGGAGCAGGGACCGAACAACGGGAGCTCACCCCATCACAGGGACTTGAACCGCCGACCTTCTGATTGGCAAGCCCTAGGCTCTCTGGTTTAACCCACAGCGCCACCCACGTCCCATGGCTAAGTTAGGTCCATTAATTTCAATGTGTCTGCTCTGAGTAAAACTTAATTGAATACCAGCCATAGATGCAACTTTAGATATAGTCACTGCTGTTTAAATAGAAATGCAGTACATCTCAGTGATCTCACCAGAGTGGAGGTGACTGTGACCAAGTGACTTTGCATGCCTTCTCAGTTTGCTGATGGGCAGCTTCAAGGCTGCCCTTCTTTTTCCCCTTCTTGTTGTTATTTATCTTTAAACCCAACTTGGGCCAGACAGCCTTTCAAAATGAGGAATTCTTTAAATAGAGGGTTGTGCTCTGTAAATTAGAATGCATGGGGGTCGGCGCTTATCTGACCTCCTATCACAGGTATTGCCGCAGCTTACCAGGAGGGTAAGTGCAAATAAACTGGTGGGGCCAATCTGATGTTCTCAATGGTGTGTTTGCACCCTGCTGAATGTGCTTCTGCCCATCTCCTCATAAGCTGCAGCAACAACGCTTATAATGGGAGGTTGGTTAAGTGCTACTACTTCACCCTGCTGGTACTTACTGACAGCCACCTTACCTTTCCTTGACAGTAGGTGGGAAACTTACGAGGATCCTATTCCTCTAGAAGCTCTTACTGCACCTGCCCCCCCCCCCGAAAAACACAGAATGGAAAGCCTTGGCAAACATGGCTTTCTTCTTAGGTGGGCTGCGTGAAGGGTGGTATATCTTGAGGGATGTCCATATGAAGAGACAGGTGTTAAGCTTAAATTATTGTAGAAAGCACCCTGTTTTGGAAGGAAGGCCCTCTACATGGACCTAAAGTATGTGCTCATGGGAGTAACAGCAGTAGCCAGCACACTCCTGATTGGAGAGATGTTTATTCACTTCAGCTGTGTCCACTGTAATTTGTTAATCTTTTTTCATATTTGTATTTCATCCCCTATCCATTTGCTGTGCATCTTAGCTGCTCTCTAAGCAAGTGTAACCATAGTTTCTGGCCTTCATTCTCCTTCTTAAGTTCCCTCCTAGCCCAAAAGAAAATAGAAAAGTTGTGGTTAACACAATTTACAGGAACAAACGTATTTCCACACCCAAACCTTTCTGCTAAGGTAGAAAGGGAAGCCAGCAAACTTGCCCCCATCAAACAGGTACGGTTGGGTCAGTGCTGTTTTTAACACCGCTGCGTATATGCCAATTCCCATACACTGTTAGTTCAGGCAGCGCACGTTAATACCTGCCTCAAATCAATGCTGACCTTTGAACAAGTGCTGGTGCAGACACAGACTCTGAGAATGATGTGTCTCACTTGTGTGTGTTGCTTGCCCTCTCTCTTTCTCTCCTAAACAAAAGCATTACAGGAAGCAGAGGAAGCCCTCCTTTCTCAGCAAGCCAGCACTGCTATTTGATGTTTCCTCTAAAGCAGGCTCAGGTGGGGTTAGCTGAGGCTTTGTGTTTCCCCATTTATTTCCTGCTGTCCAAAGTCCGTGTTGTCAACGTGAGCTATGACCACCCAGGCAAAGGTTCTTGGTACCTAGCTTCTTTTTCTGCTAATGACGCAAAGGCAGCCATGGCCTTTTTGTTGTACACATGCTGTGACATACTCATAATAGAAAATTAACATGCGGGGGTGCCATGCTTTGCTAGTTTTTGTTCTGTATTTTGCTTGTCCCTACCACCACCACTTCAGTTTCTCTTCCTGTGTTCATTAAAGTTGGAACAACACTGGACAACAGCAGCTGAGGTTGAGCAGAAAAGGGGTAAATGGTGTGCTGTGTTGGCCTATTTAACTATGAAATGAAAAGGTTGCAAGAACAAGGGAAATACCAGAGGCAGAGACTCTTGGGGAAGGGCCATAGCTTACTGGTAGAACATTCTCTGTGCGCACAGAAGGTCCCAGTTTCCAATCCCTGGCAGAACCCTGTCAGCTTAATTACTGTTCAGTGTAGACCACACTAAGCTAGCTCAACCAACAGTCTGCTTTGTATACATTATCTAGTTGCAATTCTCACACCTGTAGGTGTTTAGCTCAGTGGCAGAGCAACTGCTTTGCATGCAAAAGGTACAGTGCTCAACCCGTGGCATCTCTAGGTAGAACTAGGAATGTCTGCTGCCTTAAACCCTGGAGGGCCATTGGAGTGTAGACAATACTAAACTAGATGGACCCATAAAGCAACTTCCTATGTTTCTGTGCACTGGATTTGTACCGCAAAGACCAAAAGGAACATCTAGACTGTTCAGTAAGTACATGAGCAAAGGATGCTCATCATTTCCATGTGCTAAGATAGTTTCCCCAAATAGGAGAATCAAAGTGTAATAATAATACAATTTCCCTGGGGAAACTACAGGTGTCTTGCTATTCTAGATTACTGCAAGTACAAAAGAAATTATATGAATGAGAAAGGTACAGTAGTAGATTTATCACATATATGGAAAGAAGGTTCCGGAGATTTAGGCTGCACGAGCACCATACATTTAAAACACCCCCCCCAAAAAAAAAATCCTGGAAAATGTAGTTTGTTAATAGTACCAGGAGAGCCAGTTACCTGTTGAATCTACGGAGAGCCTTTACTGAGCTGCATTTTCAAGCTATACATTGGACCCAGGAGGCGATTCTCACCTTATCGAACATCCAAGAAAGATATCTCTGCATGCCAGAGAAAGTCCCATGGTAAACGGTTCAGTCACCCTTTTTGCTTTAGCGGCCAAAAAGATCAGAAAGAAGACATAACAGTGAACTGGACAGGAGACATAGAGATCTAAATAGAGACTTTAATTTGTGGCGCAGCACCCCTTTTGCTTCTATTTCTTTTGGTTTCAGATTTGTCCTGGCCAATGCTAGTACAATAAAGTTATTTGGATTGGATTGGTATCAGGAATTATAGTTTAGAGAGCTGCATTTCCCAGGATTCTTGGGCAAGGGGGTTGCTTTAATGTATGGTGTCCCACATATGCATGATGTGGCAATATTGAATCATTGAGTCATCATCAACATCACATCTATTCAAAAGCGCCCCCCCCCCACATCTGTAGTTTGAAGGGGATTTATTCTAACCACCTCGTTCCTCTTTATTTTTAGACTCAGACTGAGCTAAGATGGCTGGGTAGAATACACAGTTGAATTTCATATCAGTGGTACCAAGACTTGGAAATAAAGGAAGTCACTAGTAGCAGGTTCAGTTAGTTAAACACTGCATATTTTATAATAAAAATGTACACTGTTTATGTACACTTGTTTTACATATAAGGAAAAAAACTAATGAAAACAAATGCTTAAAGCAATCACAACAGAAATGTGTATATGGGATATCATAGAATCAAAGAATTGGAAGGGACCACAGTGGTCGTCTAGTCCAACCATCAATGCAGGAATATTTTGCTCAACATGGGGCTTGAACCCAGACCCTGAGATTAAGAGCCTCATAGCAGAGATTAAAAGCCAAGGCCTGCAAAGGACAAGATAGAGCTTTAAAAGTAAGCCACCAGCATTTTGAATTGTGCTCATAAATGGGTCACGAACAAGTGGAGCTCTTTAAATTTTGGTGATACAGTAAGCTCGCGACTTACTTGCTTTTAACTTCTGCACATTCAGCTTTACGTGTGTGGCAATAAAAGAAAAGAAAAGGGATGGAGCTCCAGGACAAATGACTTTGGCAATCACACCCACCATTGAACATGGATGACTGTAACCAGGCCCTGTGTGTCCCAGTGGGGCCACACCTTGACACAAGCAGCTTTGGCTGATGAAAGGCAGTACTGTATATGTCACTAAGGCCACTTGACTACTAGCAACAGTGCATTCAGTGCATGGGGTTGACAGTAGGGATGTGAAACACTATGTTGGGAGTGCAACAGCAGGGATCATTCAGCTGTAACTTAAGGGTTAATTCTCTTATCAGTCAGCTAACCATGGGGTTGGGTTGAGGTATTGCTTATAGCAACCAGGCAGAGTGGGAGGGTCTTTCTGTTAAGATTTTTATCCACCCAAGCTGCTCAGGCGTTTTCCCAACACTTTCATGGGGTAGCACGTGCTCTGATTGGCTGCGTAGTGCTGTGTTTTCCCTCTCTATGGTTGGTTGAATGTCTCCCTGCTATGTACAAGGCCTGAAGTAAAAAAGACAAAAACTTCTCTGTTTCTTTCTCCTCAAGTTATACAGTTTCAATTTGTTCAGTTTCCTCAGGATTTTCACTCTGGTCTCCCGTCTGTATTATTTAAGTGACTTTGCTGACATGCCACAATTCATCCCCACTGCATCTTCACTTCCTGCTGCTAACCATCCTATGTTGAAATGGCTCACATTATTATCAGCTGTGAGGCTCACAAGCATGGCAACCAGGAAGCCGAACAGCTGTTTGGTTACTGTGAACCCCATTGTTTGGAAAAACGAATCTTCTGGAGCTGCCAGGCTGAGTTCATGAGGCAGCTCTTATTGCCAGCTTCAAAAAGCTAGTCTAAGCTTTCCCAGCAACTGCTTGTAGCTGTTGTGCTCACAGGCCCTCCAATTACAGCTGCTGCCTCATCTTTGCAGCCCATCCCTGGGCAACAGTTAAAAGAGACATTGTGGTTTCATAAAGCTATTTTTTTCAACTGGGGTTTTTCTTTTAGCTCTTTGGTAAAAATGTTGTTCATTAACAGAATGGCTTCACAACCAGCCTGTTGGCGTGGAAAAAATCCCCCTGAGCAGTGAAGCCAGGCAAAATGCTGAATGGGACACTGCCCTACCAACCTCAGTCTGCCCTTAATCACTTGCCCACCTGCCTGCCTACTTCCTTCGAGCCAGCCGAGGATGTGGCACTGCTTGTCAGCTTCCTCTTCTTTAGTCTTAGTGTTTTCCCCTTATATAAATAAGAGTGGATGATGGAGACAAAATTAGAATTAGTTAGATCTGCTTTCCATTGGCTCTGGCACCAACTACTGTTGGGCTTCAGTTCCTGCCTTCTTCCGCCTTGCCAGCCACGATGGGCACCAGCCATCACTGCCCTGAGCTGCTTTCAGTTGCATCCACATTTTAGTTTGTACACTCTTTCTTTTGATAGGAATGTACCTGTATGGCGTGCCACAAGGGTGCTTGCAACTCCAGGGTCTAAAACCCAAACTCATTCATTACCCTGAGAGAAAAAGTGGAGGATGGTGGGAGGAGTCCTTGCACATAGCTATATTATTAACCTCATTCTTCAGCATCAAAAACTTTTATCTAGGGAAAGATGCTGAGATTTGTATGCCTGCTCTGCTTGCATCTCTCGCTCACCTATCAAGCACATTAGCTTTGTAGGTCTGGAGGCCTTTCCAGAATTTAAATATATGTGTGAACAATTTTACTTTGAATTCTGAACCTAGAACAATCCAATTGTACATGTCACATCTTCGTTTATGTCTGCCTGCAGCTTCTCCCAATAATTCTTGTGTCCGAGTTTCTGATTTTTTGAAATTGTTGTCTTCCACATTTTCTCTTGCATTTTCCAGCTGGGATTTACGGTGCAAAGGGAAGATGTAATAGTCAAGATGCTACTAAAAACAAGCTGGTCAGGCATGAACAGAAGTGAGGAGTAAGTCACAAGAGAGCTGTTTTGATACTACACATTTTCCTCCTTGTTAAATCACCAGCTTTCCTTCCCTCTAGGTTCTCACAAAGGGCTTGTTGTTCACCCTCAGGAGACATAGCCTACAGTAACAAGTCTGCTACATCTGCTACTCAGGATGTATATTTAAGAGTCGAGTTGGATGTAACAATCTTAGTAAGAGTCACGACATGACTCTTCTCATGAAGTATGAATGCAGCTTTGCAACTTGCTTGAGATGCAAACTTGACCACTGGTGCAACTCTGAGCCTTGCCCCCCAATCGTGCTTCAGGCTGCCTGTTTGCTTTCTTATACCAGGTATGTTGCCTATTTAAGAAGATCCCTGTGGATCAGACCGAAATCTCATTTAGTCCAGCATCTTGTTCTATGGGAGGCTCATAAACAGGACCTGAGTGTAACAGCACACCCTGCCCTGCTTGTAGTTGATGTTGAGAAATACCCTGCCTCCAACAGTGGAGGTAGAACTAGCCATTGGTAGACTTATCCTCTGTGAAATTGTCTAATCCTTCTTTAAAGCCATGCAAATTGGTGGCTATTGGCAGAGCACAGTGGGGTTGCTGTTGTTTTCAATATTTGCACACCAAATGTATTTTTTTAAAATAAATAAATAGCTTTTTTAGGCATGGGGAGAGACTTTCCGGAGCAATGGTGTGTTTGGGAAATGAATGCAGAGTTGACAGTGCAATCCTATTTGTGACCACTCAGATGTAAACCACTGTTGAGTCCAATAGGACTTATTCCCAAGTAAATGTGTGTTGAAAGCTAATTTCAGCCAGGGTCCTAAGGTTCCAATAAAGAGGATAGTACTCACACCCCCACACCCCGCAGCACATACAGAATGCCACCTCCTCCCTTGTGTATAGTCTCAGCCACCAGCCTTCACCAACCTCGTGCCCTCTAGATGTTTTGGACTACAACCCCCAGGCTTGCCCTGCTGAGACACTCCAGGCACTTTGAGTACTTGGGTCATGTAAACAATTGGGAGTGGGGGGGGGTGCCAATACTATCTCCACTAAGATGCTAGTTTCCCCCCTCATCTTATTAGGGACAGTTTACACTGAACTACGTACTTGAAAATAATTAGCAGTGCAAAGTTTACTCACTTTGAATTTTCCCTGTGGATTTTGTTGAGTTAAACTAGATTGATGATTGATGATATATCCAGATTGCTCTGCTCTGAATACAGTTTTGCAACATTTTCTGAAGTGTGGTGAACTGCAAGCATTCCAGAGACCACTTAGACCTGTGGTCTTCAGCTTTTTTAAAAATTCAGACATACTTTTAACTGCAACAGTCAACAAAGAACCATTTCTTTCTCTCTTCCACTTCCTTTTGAAATTTCTGCCATTTCTCTCTTCATGCAGCCCAGTTATGATTTCAACAAAAACATTTGGTTGCATGTGCTTCAGCCTAATTCCAAAATGGACTGCAGCTAGGGATCGAGTCCAAGTGCAGGCTGGTGAGGATCAGAAGGGCAACAGACATGGTCAGAAATGGACTAGGGGTCACACACTGAATCAGGCAGATGAGGATCAAAAGGCCAGAGGCTAGTGTGGAATCAGCTAGGCAAAACGTCAAGTTCCAAGACCGCAATAAAAGGTAAAGGGTGGCCAGAGGCAGATGTTAGGTCAAAGCTAGGGAGGCTGGCTTTTATTTTTCACTATAATGACTAAATCTGAGACGAATTTTTAAAGGGTTGTTTTGGTGCAAAACAGGGAGTACCCCCCAAAAAAAAACGTTTCTTGAAAGACATTCTGCACACATTTTTGCACTGTTTTGCTCTTGTTTGTTGCCCTTTTCATTTGTCAGTCAGTATATTTTATTGTTTATAGCCAGTGGCCATCACGATAGCCCCTTTCAGTTGCTTTTATTTCCCCCCGCATTCCGTTATCTGTATGATCCCACTGATCAGAGAACATGTATCCAGCATGATGATGTCACAGTGCCTCCCAGTGGCGTAGGGAACCCGGTGACACCCGGGGTGGGTACACACGCTATCGCATGCACACAGCTCCATAGGGTGGGGCATACTGAGGGCCAGGCGCATCTCTGGAGCTGCGTTCCTCCCTGGTCCCCTCCACCTGGAGGGCAGTGAGGGGGACATGATGTGCATGCACGCTGCCTGCAAAAGCAGTGCGGGGCTGAGGTGTTGTGTCCCTCCCAGGTGCCCTTCTGCTGGAGGGCAGCTGAGGGGGAGGTGGCAGGTTAGGGGCTGGAGGGCGCTGCACCTTGGGGTTTGGTGTGCCACCCCAACTTAAGTGCCACCCAGTTTTCCCTGCCCCTTTCATCCCCCCCCCTTCTCTGCTACTGGTGTCACCATGCCCTGTGTATGTGATGAGACGTCAGGCCTTGGCCTAGCTCAGAGATGCACTGTGGCTGGAGTTCATCTCAGATGCAAGAGGATGAGGATCAGAAGAGCAACAGATGTCCGGAGTTCAGGCACCAGCTCAGGAAGATGAGTAGCAAGTGCAAAGTTGAAGCCAGGCAGAATGTCAAGTTTCAAGAGCGTGATACAGAGGGTTGAAGGATCCAGATGTGGAGTGAAATGCAGGCAGGAATTAAAATGTGAGACAGTAGTAAGGAGAAGACAGCAGGAGAGTCTTCCTCAGGACTCTTGGTTGAACTTGGCTTGGCGGCAAGAACTTTTTAGGGCTTGGTGTGCCCTGATTGAGTTGGAGTGTCAGCTGACGCTATCAAGCTGGGAGGGCAGCTGACTCTCCCCAGCTTGAACTGCAGCCTATATTACATATTTCCCCTAAAACCTAATCTGTCTGGCCTCCTGAGGACCCAGAGCACAAGCTGGTACTTCAGAAGGTGAAGCACTGCAGACCACAGTTCAAAACACACACACACACACACACACACACAAGCACCCAACAGTGTGCAAGTATTATTTTGGCATTTTTTCTCTTTCTTTGAACACTCAGTCTTTTCACCTGATAATCAGCAGCTGTGGAAACATGATTAAAAATAGTAGTTCCATCTCTTGTGCGATTTCCCCACACTTGTAGATTGATATATATATATATATATATATATATATATATATATATATATAATCTCCCCACCTTGATTGGCTCTACTCAAATCAATTTGTGCATGTGTATTTCTGGACAGAGAGAGAGGCGTATCATGACACATTTTAAGAGTGTCATCTCTGTCTTGCGGTGAATGATCACTGCTAAAAAATGAACCACAGGGACATGTATCACACTAAGCAGTTGTCTGACCATCTGAAGGCGTTTCTCTTCCTGCTAGTGTTTCCTCTCTGAGGTTGCATGTGACCGTGAGAGCAGTGAAACAGGAAGTTGTAATTTCAAGCCTCTTTGCTATCAGCATGATATCTGCGGTCAGTCCCCTGACACAGCTTGCGGCTGGTTTCTGGTTAGCAGAGAGACACTTTTGTGCTGATCTGGCATCAGTTCCCACCTACTTAATCAGTTAAGCTGTGCAGTTGAGTAGCGTTTCTAGTTGCCTTGTGGATTCTAGTAATGGCAAGGAAGAGATATATTTGAGTGGTTCTGACAGGAATAGCTGGTCACTCCAGAGAGGCTGATAAAATTACATGAGCACTCTCATTTATGTATGGAAGACATTTGCTTTTAACCTCCCACAGGGTTTTACAGTGTGGGGTTGGAGATAAAATACTTATCTTATTTCTGCAAGAGTTGCTTGGTTAGTCTGCTTCAGCAGGACTGACCAGAAGCCCTTCATTGGCTTGGCTTGTGTTAAGATGCAAAACTCTTAAACCAACTCTTAAACCATGGACCAGGTGGATAGCCTCCAAATTTTGCTCAGCTCCCAACTCCCAGCAGCCCCAGCCAGCATGGTCCAATGGTCAGGGATAATGGGAGTTGTAAGCCATCGACATCTGGAGGACACTGTGTTAGCTACCAGTGGTCTATAGCCTATAGTGGCATGGTTAACTTCTCAATTGACAACAAAGATCTGAGACATTGATCTTTTGCAAGTAGCACAATTTGAGCCATAGTGCCCAGCGCATAGACTTTGAGGATATAAAAGTTTGTGACATCTCAGCTCAGTTCAGTTGTGGATTTTCAGGCCATGAAACAGCTTTGCCAGCCAGTTTCCTTACACTCCTGGAATATTTAGCTTATCCCCCTGCTACCTTGCTACCTGTGCAGATCAGCAGACTACTGTGATCAAATCTGGTTGCGACATATAAAAAAGGATATTGTAGAGTTGGAAAAGTGTGCAGAAATGGATAACCAGATTGAGGGAGGAAGCCTTCTGGTTTATTGAGCCCAAGACAAAAATTTAGCACAGGGTTAGAGGCAGCACCCACCTTTTCGTGGGATGATGGAGTATCATCAGTATTTGAAAGAAGAGAAAGAGAAGGGACACTTTGTTCAGTAAAATGAAGAGAAGCCCAAGTGACTGGATGGAAAGGAGATTTTGAAAGAGGCATGCTTTCTAGATTTTCCAGTGAATTTTTAGCACAAATGTCATCCCTGTTTGAAACTACTCAACACAGAAATTATGAAATATTCCTGGTTGCATTCAGCATCCTCTAGAGCAGGGGTAGTCAACCTTTTTATACCTACCGCCCACTAATGCATCTTTCTTGAAAGTAAAATTTCCTTACCACCCACCAGTGCTTGATGGAAGGAGGATTCAGCTTGTGCCGTAGAACCCCCGACCGCCAACCTAGAATCCTGAAAAGCCCACCAGTGGGCAGTAGGAACCAGGTTGACAACCCCTGCTCTAGAGAGCACCTTCCATTAAACTTGAACTGAATTATTTCTTGCAACTGCTGAGTAAGGCTGCAATCCTATTCTCACCTACCCTAATGAACTCAATGGGGCTCGAGTAGACATAGGGTTGCATCCAAGTAAGTTTTACTCAGATTGAAGTTATCCAGTGCACTGCAGGTGTGCTGAACCCCTGTGATTTCTCCAAATATAGGAAACTCAACTGCATAATTTGTGACTGCCCCCTTGAAATTATATGCCCCATTCTAATTAATAGATGTAAGTTAGTCAAGTCCCTAACTTTTAATGGGTCTTCTCTAAATAAGACTAACAAGCCATTTGTATTGTATTGTAAAGTCTATTTGCTTTAGAGTAAAGCTGGAGGAGAATGAACTCAATCAGAACATGGGTTTCATAATTCATTTTGAGTGGTTTCCCCTGGCGAGGACATTTGTTTTTGAAACACATTTAGGAAACTGTTTGTTAATGCATCTTTCCTGCAGACATTGGTTTTCCTTCTTTAAAAAAAATACCTGTCTTTCATAACCATACAAAACCACAACTCATTGCCCATTTATTTGTGACCTATTGGCTCTTGATAGCCTCAGCTTTGAACCTCTTATTTATATGCTTTTGCTACCTCTGCCCTGCCAGCTTTCCTATCAAATTGTTTACGGCTCAAAACAATTTCCTTCTGTGGCGCAGAGCACGTCTGGGATATACAACATGTGTTAATTTAACAAAGCAGCTCTTTGATGCTGCTTTAATTTTTTAACAACAGCTCAGAGGCAATGATGTACAGATTATATAGTGTCAGTTTCCCAATTAAAGTTTTACAGGAAAATACTCTGTGTTTGCTCTGAGGCGGTTTTGAACGCTTCCTTCCGGCACTCATGCAAATGAAAAGCATACGATTGCAAAGCATCCATTTGAAACCTTGAAATATTTATTGAGGCTTCTCTAGAATACTGAAGCAGGAATCTTCCTGTAGGCTTGTTGATGTCTTTCATTTGCATATATTTTGTAATTAAATGTCTGGAAGCTTCTAGTTTATTGTGTTTTTTAAAAAAATAAAAAACCCAGTAATAAGGTATTTACCATGCTCATTGTAGAATTCCCTTGGAATTTGAACTTAGGAGGGAGGGGGCACAAAGAGACTGTGTCTGAAGTGCCTCCTGGTAAATAGAAGGTTCCCATTAATTATGGTACAAAATTATGATGGGATGAATAATAGCCTGCCTGGTCTAATAATGTTGCTTAGATTTACAGACACAGAGGAGACAGTCAGTAAAGCAAGGCACATACCTTGAGGCACAAGGAATTTGGAAGTGAGAAGATGCCAACAAATTATTTATTATATGTTCAGCTTCCAATTCTCCTTGTCCTGTGAGGGTGGGTCCACCACTCCAGTGTCCAACCATGTGAAGGTGTTCTTTCTATTGCTGGCTACAAGGATGAGGAACAGCTATTGCCTTGCTAGGTCCGTTCCCTTAGTGAGCGCTATTATAGAAGGTTGCAGGTTCTCCCCTTCCCCTCTCCAGAGACTGATTTGTTCTTTGGGCCCATGCTCCACTAAGTTATACTTAAAGTAGAACCACTGGCTTTAATAGACCCAACTCTCACAGATCCATTAATTTCAATGGGTCTTCTCAAAGTACGACTAATGTTCAACACAACTCTTCATTTCCACCAGCTGACATCTTGAATGTGATGGAAAATCCACAAATATTTTCCAATGCCAGGGTGCCAAAAAGGCCATCTGCCTCCCCTTCCAGAATGACACACTGTTCCATCTCCTGGCCAACAATCCTTTCGATTGGTTTGAGCCTTACTAAATGTGCATCTTCTCTTTGGAGCCTCATTTCCGCATGTTCACGCAGCTCTGCTGACACCCTTGTGGCGTCTGCTTACTCTACTTGCACTCATTGAAATAGTGGCAACTGTTGTCAGCACATGTGTGTCTGTTTCTGTCAAATATTTTCCTTAAAATAGAAAGCCTTGCCAGACATGGCAAA